CAATGGCGAGGCATAGAGTCGCCCCGCGTGTTCCCATTGTTCCGTTTGTAAAATCAATTTGTATCGCTTCCCGATTCGAGCGGAGGCATTAGCTCTCGCCGTGCGCGAGCCGACGGGTACCGCCGGCCTTCCAATGGAGTTGCGGATCGTATTGGCAGCGAAGTGAGAATATTGGATCGCATTGAACCGTTGACCGCGGAAGCTGATTTGACAGACAGAATCGATTGTTCGCGCTCTCGCCGTCTGCCCTTAGGATACAACCGGTAAGGGGCGGGAGGTAGGGACGGGAGGAAGAGACCGATAGATACAAGGGAGAGAGATGGAAGGCTGCTCGTTAAATTGATTCGATCTGTGCCCGGAAGCCGCTTGGCCTCCACGAAGATGAAGTTCGACGCGTTGACCGCTGCACTAATATTTAGGGAGGACGCTGTTGAGACTGAAACCCGAGTTTGGAAAATATATCAAGACTTTCGCTTCCTTCAAAGTTTCATTCGGTTCGATATTTCGGACAGTAAATTTATTAGAGGTGCATGTAGCAGTAACGAGGAATTCAGTAGGTTATGTTGATGCTGTTGAAACGCGTTGAGAAATATGGTGATGTATCCTATGGCGACGCTTTTCGTTATTTACGTTACATTGTGACAATTCGAATCAGCATTCCGCGGCGCAACGGGTCAACGATACGATCCGGCTTTCGGAGGCACGGATATATTTTTGATTTGTAACAGTCGAGTGGCGGTGATGCGAGGACAAGTTGTAACCGAGCAAGGAATCGGAATAGTAGGCATCCGGGTGTCCGTGGACAGGGACTCCCGCTTCGGGTTCACGTTGACCAGGGCTGATGGATGGTAAGTAAAACTTTTCCTTTATTTTATGTAAACGATGTAAGTCATAGGATTATGAAAGCTGATACCGATAGAATTAGTGGGAAATTATCACTGAGATCGATCAATGAAATACGAGTTTCTATGCTTCTCTTCTGCGCTAGTAGGACATTCTTAAATTGGTGTGAAGATGATCTCGGGCGCATCGGCGTATAGAAGAAGCGTGCTCGAAGCTCGATGACGCGTCTCTCGTTGATTCAAATAGTTGGTTAGATGAGTCTCTTCATTGAGACCGGTTCGTCCTCAAAGGTACCATTTCCGTAGACTCAATTCATCGCGAACTTAAGCGACGTAGCCTATATTGTGCTTTAATCAAGGGATAAGTGACAAGATCTCTGTTAGAAGTGCCGTAGACAGCGAGACACGCTGTGCGCGTACCATTAATTCAAGAATGTCGTACGAGTCGCCGACAAAGATCCTTCCATTGAGGGAAGTATTCCGCTTTAGACAATATTACCTCGTAGCTCGAGAAGAATACGCTCGCGTAGCAGTCTGCGCTCGCAATCAAGCACGCAAAGATGGCACGACGTTGACAATCGATGAATCTTTAAAATCCCACTAAAGTAAAAACGAATCTCGAATTACATTCCATAGAATCCGAATTCAACAGCTGCGCGTTTATTGAAATCGGGAAACAACGGTCCAGAGCATCGACCTATTAGAATCCCCGTAATTCGATCATTTCGCATCGCGATCGTATGGTACGAACGTCGAGGCACGCATTATCCTTTCCTCCCGCGGACGATGATGGTTCCGCGCCGGAACATCGGGGAACCGTATGCGTGACATTAGTATTTGTGCACGATGATGGGTGGGAAGCGTGCACGCCAGCTTGGACGTTCTTCGTAATAGGATCAAGGCTGTATTGTAATGAAGGGCGGGAACGGAGACGCTGGAAACACCTATACCTAACAGGTATATAGTAATCCCGGCGAGGATAATCCTGAAACACGGAGCCGGAGGAGTTGGCCCGGCAAACCACATCAAAGCCCCAGCTAATGATGTCGAAAGCTTCCTAATTACTCCGTGCAAACCTGCGTGATTAGTCCGACCTCCGTTCCCGCCCCCTCCCCCTCCCTCCGCCCCACCATTCAGTCCCGATAGCTGTCGAAATTTTACCATAATACGGTGAAACTACGAATGCGAGATTGCATCGCGACGAAATCCACCGTTGAACTCGCCGGTGTGACGTTACCGCGCGCACGGCCGTGCCGGGCTAATCCTGGCGGAGCTTGGACCCCGGCCGAACCGTTCTATTCACCATTAATGAATACACGGGCTAGGGCTGATAGATTGCTAGTTATTATCGCGGACTGTGCCAATAAGTATGTGCGCCAAACGTTTGACGATGCTTGTCTGCGAGTAGCGCGACTTTGCGTTAAGTCCTCCTTCGTCCTGTCCGGAGTCGAGCACTCTGTTTCTGCTTCCAATCAGATTTGAGCAAGGAAATGGTACAAGAAATAGAACACGTTGAATGCCGCACGATTTCATTGAGCAAAATACCCAAATCGAAAGAATATATTAAATCAATTTGATTGAATTGTTATTATTGCATGTTCATGTAGCTGAATGTCACATTAGTATATAAATCTCCAAATAATCGTCTGAGTGAACTATAGTAATCCGATTCGGTTAGGGGTCACCTTCACCCCCACGGCATTCAACGTGTTAACCCCATGGCGTACTATTTACTTTCGTTACTAAGCTCGTGTAATATTTTACTATCGACAATTTGTAAGAAATACAACAAAATTTTCCATTCTACTTCAGGTGGGAATTTCATTTGAAGATAATACATTGATAGTAGCAGAATAGTTGTTTGCTTTGATCCGTGGGTAATTAACGTCAAGGGGTTAAAATTCAGTTTTGAGATTTGAGGAAACGGCAATAGCAGATAGCTTTTCAACAGATAACGATAAAGATAAACGATTCCACGCGTATACTAGAATTTAAGCACTCCGCATCGTCGAAATTGTTCCCAAGTATTTATTCGTTTAACTAATGAAGTGTTAAACGGGTGGAAAACAAGAAAACGACGGTTGAATTGGTAGACGATAAAGTTCAAGCCCGGGGAAACACGTTTCCCAGCGCGATCCCTGAAACAATGAGAAGCGGAAATCGTTTGCGGGTCATTGCGACAAGTATTTCCCGACAGTTATCGAAAACTATCCGTTCTCGAATTGGTCACGGTTGAGGAGAACCCGGCGCGTATCCTTTATCGATCGCGTCGCACCGCGACGCAATACCGGAAGCGGTATAGTTTGAAATGCATTTACCTACTTCGATCAGGTTTGACGTGCTGGTCAACGGCGGCGGTGCAGTGACGCTTCAGTTCCAGCGGAGCCCCTTCAAACCCCTTACGAGGACCGTGTTCGTGCCATGGAATCAAATAGTGGTTCTACCTCCTGTGGTGATGACCCTTAACATGGACGGCGAGTCCCATAAATCGAACCAACCCCCTAGCCCAGCTGTCGGTAAGTATTAACCCCTATATTATATCTCCTTTTTATTTTCCTCTTCATTTTTCGTATTTCTTTCACGTTATATCGCGTTTCCCATTATCGGCGCGATTAACGGGACGAATAAACGGTCCAACGGTTTCGTGTATGTACCACGATGCGTGTCGAACATGAATGTATGTGTATACCCGCGGCGATCTCGTAGTTTCCTTTACGTTACCCGTTCCGTTCTTATCTGTTCGTTACTTCATTTTGGAGATTGTGTGTCTTAATCGTTGCTCTGCAAACTGGCCGATCACCCGCATAGAGGACAGGATTCATCCGTGACGTTGCTGAACGTGTGTGCCGTCTTTGTTCCGTCCTTAAGTGTTTTATGTTTTTAAGTTCCTTACCATTTATGGCGTACAATATAATAGGCTTCCCAGGGATCTCCATGGGACTCTTTAGCGAGCACGGCCCGTGCCTTGAGCACGACCACGAACTGCTGAGGCCGATCATTGTCAGCACCTGGATGCCGGAGAAGGTGGGCGGGCTGCCTGGCAGGAGTCTGGTGTTCGCCGAGAGCCAGGTAAATTGAACTAACATACTCATTGCTAAAACGTCGCAAGCTCACTTTCCTAAATGCTCAATCTAATCAAGCTGACAAATGATCCTGTCTACGTGTTTAAACTCTCTATAACAGCGTTGACAGTCTTACTCTATCTGATCCATTTACATAAAGTTCAAAGTATGTTTCATCGAATGGTATAAGATTGAATCCAGTTACCCGACGCTGGTCATCACAGTCGACGCTGAAACGCGAAGATCAGACGCTGCATAACAGCGGACACTTTGCACCAGATTTCCTCTGGAACTCTGTGCCCGCATCTGCGCGTCCTCGAAGTCGGTGGCGAAAGCTGTTCCACGGGGCTGATTTAAAATTCAAATGTCCCCGGGCAGTCGGTCCCGCGGCCGTAAACAACATTTTCGAGTGACCAGCTGACCCTACTTGCAGATCGTTCAAGAGAGCATCGCGATTCCGGGCTCGAACCTACACTTGATGTACCAGAGCAGCCAGGCGGCCGGTTACCTGTCCACGGTGAGGATGCAGTTGACCGGGCCGCTCATTCCGAAGTCGCTGACGCATGTGCACGTGCACGTGGAGATCGAGGGCTCGCTGCACACCAAGACCTACGAGGCAGATCCGAATCTGACGCACACGTTCGCCTGGAATAAGCGGAACGTTTACAAGCAGAAGGTGTACGGCGTGGCGCAAGCCAGAATCTCGATCGGCTATCAGCATTCCACTTGCCGCTCGGTGATATGGGAGACCCAGACGGCCACGCTGCAAGGATTCGACGTGGACATCTCGGACATCGGCGGCTGGGGCCTCGACATCCATCACCATTACAATTTCCACGAGGGCATCCTGCAGAAAGGCGACGGCACCACGCTCCACTTCAAACAGTATCCCCGCACCGTGAAGGTGGTGATGGGCACTGGTCTACAGAGGAGCCTGGTCTGCCAGGACTGCAACGGTCTCGCCAAAGACGCGAAGCTACTGACCCCGGTCGCACTTACCAGCGGTCCGGACGGCAGCATCTACGTCGGAGATTTCAATCTAGTCCGGAGGATTACGCCAAAGGGAAATGTCTACACCGTCTTGATCTTGAGGTGGGTTCGGGCATTTTCTAAACCGCGGAGTCGGCTGTTCGATAATCGCTTCGATAAGGGATGATTCATGTTCACGTTTCGATTTTACAGCGCGACGCAGGTAGCCTACCAATACTACCTCTGCGTATCCCCAGCCGACGGACACCTGTACATTAGCGACCCCGAGAAGCATCAAATATTGAAGGCGTTGACACTGGAGGTGGTGCAGAATCCTAGCATCAACATCGAGCCGGTTGTCGGAAGCGGCGAGAGATGCATTCCTGGAGACGAGAGCCACTGCGGCGACGATGGCCCAGCTATTCGTGCCAAGTTAGCACATCCTAAAGGTGATTACTTGTATCGAGTGTTGAAATAACCTTGTTTATGTTACATGTTAACTAAATGAATCTCCGGTGATCCGATAGGAATCGCCATAGCAGCCGATAAGACGATGTACATCGCCGACGGTAGGAACATCCGAGCGGTGAATCCCGACGGTATCATCCACACCCTCGTAGGCCACCATGGTCATCATAATCACTGGTCCCCAGCACCTTGCGTGGGCGCCATACCTGCCCATCAGGCTCAACTTCAGTGGCCAACCGGATTGACTTTAAGCCCGTTGGACGGTTCTCTGCACTTTATCGACGACAGGCTAGTCCTGAAACTTACCAGCGACCTCAAAGTGCGTGTCGTAGCCGGCACGCCGCTGCACTGTGCCAGCAGCAGCAGCAATGCCAACGACGGGGACGCGTCCAAAGCGAATTCCACGAACGTCTTGAATCCCAAGAAACCTGATGAAGTGCTTGGCTCCGTCTTGGCAGTTGGCTTCAGCCCTACCGGTGAACTCTACATAGCCGAGAGTGACTCTCATCGCGTGAACACCATCAGAGTGGTGGATAGCTCTGGGAAAATGTCGCATTTCGCAGGGCAGCAGCAGGAACGACTGCGCGGCCAATGCGAGTGCAACAACACCACTCCTAGCACCAAAGATTTGGAGAGTTGCTCGTGCACCGACGACACGAGCAGCACAGAGACCCTTCTGTCGTCTAATGCCAAGTTCACTGCTATATCGGCGATAGCGATCTCTCCCGATGGCGTGCTGCACGTGGCTGATCAAGGTAGCCTGCACATTCTCGCTCTTCAACCATACCTGCCGAACCACGACGAGAGTGGCGAATTCCATATACCGTTCCCGCCTACCAACGAGATCTACGTGTTCAATCGATACGGTCAACATAGCTCCACCAAGGACCTGACGTCCGGCAAGACACGTTATTCGTTCCTGTACAGTAAAAACACGAGCTTCGGCAAACTCTCGACTATAACCGATAGCGCTCACAATAAGATCCAGTTCTTCAGGGACTACAGCAGCGTCGTCAGCTCCATCGAGAACACTCAGGACCACAAATCTGAATTGAAGATCTCGGCTGTCGGGTTCCTCGAGATACTCTCTGAAAGAGGTAGAGCTGAAATCGTTTTCGGGTATGACGGATCCACCGGGTTGCTCACCAGTCGATCAGGAGTAAGTGTACAACGCTAGTTTTCGAAGTGTTCGGCGTGTCTAGAATGTGTTTGAAACGTTTGCGCGTTTTGTTCCAGGGCGGAGAGACGTATATATACAATTATGACGGTCTGGGACGAGTCACAGACGTCATTCTACCTACCGGCGAGAAACTGAAGCTATCCTCGGACTTGTCTGATAACGAAGGTTTGTCCGTGAAGGTGTCCGCGCCTCTGCAAGCTCTCTCGAAGGGTGACAAGCAACGGGAAATTGAGTACGAGATGAAGAACGAGAGGTCGAAGGTGCTGACTATCACTGATGGTAAGTTTGAAATGTTCGATGCACTAGAGAACGTTAGATTAAGAAACAGACTAGGATACCCTTTAGCCAACTTAATAGTTGCTCCTATTTTCCTATGAGAATTAACGTTTATTGTGTTCATTTCATCAGATGCCAAGATCAAGAAAGCCATCGCTTTCACTAACAGCAGCCTCGAGGTCCTTCTGCCGGGCGGTGGGAGAGTCCTCAGTGCCCCAACCACGAAACACCCGCTATTAGAAGCTGCATTGCCAGTGGAGGCGGAAATGTTACCGATGTGGAGCTACCAGCTGATGTCTCTAGGGGAATTAACGAACACGATGACAACCACGTACAACTTAGTCGGCGACGTCAGTCATTTCCAGCAGACGCTGAACAGGGAGATCTGGGTGAACGAGACGAGAGTGATAGGCGTGGAGTTCGAGCAAGCTTTCAGCCGTGAAACGTTTTACGACAAGACTAGGAACCCTCTGCTGACTGTCACTTTCGACCAAGCCGGATTACCCCTGACATGGCAGCCGCACGAGCAGGGACACAACCTCAGTATAACGTACGACAGGTTCAACCGCATAGAGAGCTGGAAATGGGGTGCTTCCGACGAATCCTACGGCTACGATCGTCATGGTCAGCTGGCCGAGGTGACCAACAGCCAAGACGGCACGAAACGTTACACTTACAACGACTTCAACATGCTCTCGAAGATCACTCTGGCCAGCGACAGACACTTCTCTCTGCAGTACGACGACGACGGTGGTTTGCGTCATATTATCCTGCCGTCGGGAACGAAACACTCGTTCTCGTGTCAAGCGTCTTTGGGATTCCTACGAGTAACATACACTCCTCCAGGCAGCACTAGGGCTTATCTTCAGCACTACAGTCACGATGGCAACTTATTGCAAACCGTGTTCCCTGGCGATGGAGCGAGGATCGTCTACAGGTACCACACTTCGGGACAGTTGGCGGAGGTGGTGCACGGGGATGGGAAGAGCGAAATCAGGTACACCGAAAGCGGACTCCCGTCAGCGGTGATTCACTCCGAGAGGGACGTCGAGTACAAGTGGGACTATCAATTCAGCGCCGGCTTGCTGGTAGAGGAACGTATCGATTTTGGCGCTAAGACTGGCCTCAGCAACGCCAAGTTCACTTTCGATTACGACTCGAACTTCCGGCTGATCAACGTTCAAGGCAGAATAGGCGGCCTGACACTACCGGCGCACACCATGGCGTACAGTCCTAGAACCGGCATGTTGGAGCAGATCGGTCAGTTCAAAGTGACCAGACCTCAGACCAACGAGACCACTGTGTTCGATGGTACAGCGTTGTTCTCTCGCATCACCGATGACAGGTACTTAGAGACTCAGGTGACTCTCACGATTCATCAGTTAGAAGTATTCAGAATGGAGTTCACTCACGATTCTCGCGGCAGAATCAATCAGACCAGGACGTACACTCGTAACGTAGGCGTGAACACGTATACCAACGTGAAGAATTATACTTGGGATTGCGACGGTCAATTAAGCGGGGTCGAGGGCCAAGAGCCGTGGTGGTTCAAGTACGACGCCAACGGGAACATGTTGTCGTTGACGTACAGAGGGAACACGATACCCATGGAGTACAACAGCATGGACAGAATAGTGAAGTTCGGCGATGGTCTTTACAAATACGACAACAGGGGGTCGGTAGTGCAAAACGCCAGGGAGGAGAGGTTTTATTATAACGCTAAAGGTCTCCTGGTTCGAGCTATCAAACGCGGACGCTTCGATGTGCGCTACTATTACGATCATCTCGACCGTTTGGCCACGAGGAAAGATAACTATGGAAACGTTACTCAGTTCTTCTATAATAATCAAAAGCGTCCCCTCGAAGTGAGCCAGATATACAGTCCGCGGGATACGAAATTGATGTCGCTGGTGTACGATGACAGGGGACACCTCATCTACGCACAATTCTACAGGCACAAATATTATATTGCCACCGATCAGTGTGGCACTCCTATCATGATCTTCAGTCAATACGGCGAAGTGATCAGAGAGATCATGAGATCACCCTACGGACATATCGTTTACGACTCCAACCCTTATTTGTATTTACCTGTCGATTTCTGTGGAGGACTGTTGGATCAGGTGAGACAGAGTTGTAAGTGAAAAGGATGTTCTGTGCTGAGTTTTTGTACTTCATCGTGAACTTCGATTTACAGGTGACGTCGCTGGTACATATGCCAAACGGTAAAGTGTACGACCCATTGATTGGAAAACAGATGTCTCCTTTGTGGGAGAACGTCCTGGACAGAGTGGACACTCCAACACACCTGCACTTGTATAGGTTTAACGGGAACGACCCTATTGATGTCAGGCATACAGACAGACCAAATCAACCCACAGGTAAGGACACTGTGTCTTCCATGAGCAATTGCTTTGTGCAAGATTAATAGCTTGTCCAGGTTCAAGTCAGATCAATACTGATACGTTCTCGGTTCTACTTAGCGCTGGCAACCGTAGCCAAATAGCTCTTGTCATTAAACCGCTGGTGTTCAAGCGGATATTGATTTTCAGAGATTAGTACGCAGAAATTGGAATGAAATAGAAACGATGAAATTGAAAATGATTTAACATTTACTCATTCGACGCATTCTCGTCTTTCAGATCACATATCATGGTTGTCACACCTAGGCTACGATCTGAAAAGCCTAGCGCCGCAACTGTTCCCCGAAGAACTGCCAGACAGCCTGGTTCCGCCGGCATTGGGCCCAGGCACCTCGATCTTCGGGAAGAAAAAGAGAACTAGAAATCTGGGCGTCCAGTCTGGCTTCCTGGCTCATATCGCGCAAAGGCACTCAGGCGACGCCGTCAGCTTATCCGCGCCGCCCCGTTCAGCCCTGAAGAAGGACACCAGCGAGCTGATACCGACCCGCTTAGGCGCAGCGTCCGATCCTCCGTTCGGCAAGGGAATCCTGGTCTCCAGGACAGCCGACGGCCAAGCAGTCGTGTCCAGCGTGCCAACCACGAACACCATCTACAAAGACGTGTTCACCTCGGTGTTCAACCGTTCCTACTTCCTGCCGTTCACGTTCGTGGTGCACAGCGCCCAGCAGGACGCGTTCTATTTCGTGAAGGAGCAGACCTGGAAAGCCAGCGAGGACCGCGGTCAACTGAAGCGCCTGGGCGGGCAGGTGAACACGACCTACCACGAGAGCGAGAACGGCAGCGGCAACAGCTCGCTGATAGACGTGAAGATCCACGGTGCCAGCTACGTGGTGAACCTGCGTTACGGCACCACCGCCGAGAAAGAGAAACAAAGACTGCTCCATCACGCGAAGGCGACCGCCATACGGAAAGCCTGGCACAGGGAACGCGAAGCGCTCAAGACGAACACTCCTACGACCATCGAGTGGATGGTAGCCGAGCACGACGAGATACTGAAGTCGGGATCCGCGTCGAACTACGAGGGCGTGTACATACACGATGCGCAGCTCTACCCCGAGCTGGCGGAGGACCCGTACAACATTAGGTTCGTGAAGAAGGCGGTCGACCCGTCCAGCAAGAAACGCCGCAGAAGGAGAGGCGCGCCGACGTGCAAGCTCTGGTGGCTAGACAAGATCTGCTAGATCGCCGGGTCGAGCCAGCAGCCCCCCTCTCCCCTAGCCGGGAGAACTGTCCAAGTCGAAGCGAAACAGGAATTTCGAGAGGCGCGCGTGGCGGATGTTTGAATGGATGAACGGAAGCGGAGGCGGAGCGCGCGGACGCGCGCTGCGAGCGGGCGCGCGCGCGGAAACGCGCACTGAACACTATCAAGCGAAGGAGAGAAAAAAAGTTTTATACCAAAGTCTATTTGTGTATTTCGAAGATGCCAAAAACATTAACGTTAATACGATTATTATGTAACGTGATAGGGTGTAGTTGTGTAAGGGCTCGGAATCGCGTGACTCGCGGCTCATCGGTATGGTAAACGGAAGAGGAGGCGGCAGGGGGCGACGAGAGCCACGTTGCGCGGGGACCCGTTGTCCCCGGCGACGGCGAAGCGAGGGTGACCGCGAGACGTCCGGACGCTCGATGATGTTCCTTCGACGAGATCGAATTTAGAGAGCAGACGAGAGGAGTTAAGGGGATGTCCGGGGAGCCGGAAACCGAGGCGCGGAACGTGGAAAATCGTGAACGGTTTGTGCACCGGTCGGGACGCGAGATCTCGATCCGGCGCGGAATCGGACGAAGGAACACTGACGGGGCGGCGAGGACCGAAGCCAAGGCCATTCGTCGTTGAGGGCGAACCGAGTGAGAGAAACTAGTCAATATATAGCTTTACATTGACGTAGATACTTTTTTCCAGTAGGATAAGGTACCGAGCCGTGTGTCACGATCGTCGATGTTACCATATGGAAACCGTGTGTACCCTGTCTGGCCCGTCGTGTGACGGCGCGATGTTTCAGCCGTACTTAGCACTCGATCGAGGAGAGCAAACGAATGAGGAGCACGGATGAGGACAATAGCTGTACGGTAGATCGCGAGTGGAAGGGACACAGACGCGCGTATCTCAACAATGAATGGCCCCCGTGGGACCGAGGATAGAGGAGCTGTTTCGGTCGATAAGAAAGAGGATGCTAAGATTCGTACAGGCGCGCCGCAAATCGGCGTATCCAGAATTCTAAGCGATTCAAGGAGAAAGAGGGAGAGAGAGAGAGAGAGAGAGAGAAAGAGAGAGTGGGAGAGAAAGAAAGAGCGAGAGGGAGAGAGTGAGAGAAATGTGTTAGGGTGTATTATAAAGTGGTGCTTTCGGTGCAACAGTAACGAGCGTGACTAGTTAGAGGACATCACTAAATAGCGTGGCTAAGGTATTTTTAACTGATGGATGTGTCCTATTCCCCAAACCCTGATTCCCCGTTCAGCGCCAGCGTCCGCCACTTCCTCGAGGGTATCTCACGTCGCTCGTGGAACCGTTCGAGGATAATCAACTTTCCACGGGCACTGTGGTGAGTGGGATTGAAAAAAAATGGTACCTTCGCGCCGAGGACTAGAGCGGAAGGAAGCGTAGGGCGCGCGCGCGCGCACGCGATGTCTGTTTCTGCGAGCCACGCGAATGTGGACGGACTCATTGTCGGTAATAATAACGTATAAACACAATATCGCATATTCGTGCTTGCTGGATATGAATAAAGAGCGTTAACTATCGTTTCCTTCACCGAGTAACTAAGTGTGTGTATCTAAATTAACGCTGATCAGTGCCGATCGTTTTCGCGGTGTACTGAACGCCATATTAACGTCTCTACGCGCGTAAGCTATTATTTAGCACCAGCCTCCGCCGACACCTTCCCAACCCTCCGATGTACGAACCGATTGACCCCCTCGGTGCTGTGGAAACGTTGATCGACGTGTGCAGGGTAAACGAGAGAAAATAACGGTTGGACATGTCCCTGGTGGATTCAGTGAAACGAAGTAGCTACGTCGATGCTTCTTTTGCTTGACGAGATTACGTGCTCCCTTCTCTTGAACGTTTAGCCGCCGGGAATAGGTGAACGGACTGCGGATGTTTATGCCGATTAAATTCCTTTTCTCATAGACTATTTTGTGGAAGCAAAGTATCTTATTGTACGCGTAAAATCTGCGGTCCAACGGTGCGCGTTCGCTTCTGACGATCTTCTTTAATCGCGTTTTCGCTTCTACGTTAACGTCGCGCCACGCCGCGTGATCGAATTTACCCGGAGACGAGCGAGATTCGTTCGTGAGACGGCTAACCGTGTTCCACCGCGCGCAACAGACGAAAGTACGATGTTCCACGGGAACGGTAATCGAATTTCAGCACCGGAAGGGTTGACCCTGAGCCACTACCCACCCTACCTTTTCCCCTCTCGTTTCTTTCCTTTCGACATATTCCCCTCGATTGCCCCGACGCGTTACTTTCCCGCGTTCCCGCGAACGTTCGTACGCGGACGCCCCCGCCACATTCGATATTTTGCGACGGCTTTAGACGGCGCCATTTTAACGGGATTTAGATAGCTGGCATCGCGGCGACAAGCTCTCCGCTTGTCGCGGATAGAAATTGAGGAAAAAAACGACAAAACCAAAAAAAAATAAATAAAATAAAAGATAACACTACGCGCTGAGTGTATAA